CATGTCTTTGGACTGTGGGAAGAACCCACGCAAACACGGGGAGAACATGCAAACTCCACACAGAAAGACCCCGGCCTGATGGTGGAATTGAACTCGGGAATTTCTTGCTGTGCAGCAACAGTGCTAACCAGAGCCATTCATATTCATTCATTCATATGTCATCAAGTAGCAGATGGCAGCCGACAAAATCAGCCTGCAAATAAATCAGTCAGCTTCAGCTTTTTATGACACAGAAAGAACTATGATATATCTCCTGATGATTAAAGCTCAAAGCTATATCATGAAGATAAACTTTTGTTTTACTTCTTAAACATAGTAAAGTTATTGCACCAAAAAAAAAAGAAAAACTGATTCTAAGGTGGTTTGGTGGAAACATTTGACTTCAAATTTAGTAGATTTTATATGGAGTGATCCACTTGTGTTTAAGGAGAACTGCAGTACCTTTAGTGCAGTCCACTAAAGGTACTGTGGTAGTGACGTACACTAAACACCCCAAACACTCGTAATAGCAAATCCTATCAGCCAGAGCATTTATAACTCAAAGGAGCCCCAATACTTCAAGTGAAGCAGTTAAAAGCCTCAAATAATAAGCTGAAATGAGAGATGATCAAATAGAGTGTGTCTTGGTACAAGGTCCTGTGTGTGTTTTGTGTATATTAGTCCCTATGCAACCCAGGCCTGACCACAACAAGAGTCCATCAATTGTGCTCGCAAAGCCAGCAGTACGCTCAAACCCCTGTGACTGCATGCACACACCCCCGGCAGTCCTTGTTGTGTGGAGGGGCCATGTTGGACCAAACCCCAGATTGCGGTGATTATTACTGCTGACCACACACGTATAGCTCCACACATGCAGGCTATAAAATATTTGACTCTAGACGTCTATCCTCTCTCTTTCTGTCTTGTTTGCTCTCAACATGGAATCAATTTTGTAAGAAACAAGACCCATGTTTGTTAGTTAGCCAGAAGTTTTACCAGAAGGGTTTCCCCTTTTCTCTTTAAGCTTTCTTTAGTTTTATCATTGTGGGAGGGAGATCATACCAGTTTTGCACCACTGACATTAATACACTATAAGTCATTGCAAAATCACTTTTTATTTGGCAAATGAAAAGCCATTCCTTCCTGTCTTTTCGGCCGCTAGGATTAAAATATCGCACGTCATGCACTGTTTGTTATAAGAACAATAGATGCTCTAAACCATGGCTAAATGAAACCACTCTCCATCATTCTGTTGTATCGTCTCACCGTGTAATCAAGTCCATTTTGTGCCCCAACATCTCCTGTGTAGCATTTTTGTTTTGTACATGATTTTCAAATATGCCATATTGATACACGATTACATCTTCCAGGTGACTTTGTTAGTATGACGTCACTAAACTCAATGAAATAACAGTCATATTTTCATTGCACTGTCTGTTTGTTTATTGATCTTGTCTGATGAGGTGAATTTCTTACAGGCTTGCTTGGTTTTCCTGGTCTTTGGGACTGTGGAGTCCCATCAGCCTCGGCCTCCAGTCTGCTGTCTCCAGGATATATGGTCCTGATTACCGCAGAGCTTTAGAACTCAATGCAGATGTTGCGTTGTAGATGTTGCTAATAATAGTTGATCTATTGTATATCAAAAGCTTTTATAAAACCGAGCTCTTTAATAAGGCACTACGATAAATTTGATCTTTGATATAATCAACTTGGACTCTGGATATCCGAAGCACCGGGGCTTTAAAATGTAACGACGTAAAGTCCACTTAAAATTGGGAATCTGTTGGTGGCCTTGTTTGCCAGAGCTGAGTATAAAAGGCAAGAGGAGGACAGTGTGATGTCATGCTGTTGGATTTAGGGAGATACCACCAAAGAGAAAGAAATAAAGCTGGGGAGGGGATTCACTTGTAGCACTCAACCCGCCTTGCTGCTTTATGAGGACTGTAATTAAAGATTGGCTTGGGTGTTGTGGTTCTGCGACCACAGAAGGCCTTATGTATCTGACAGGCATGAAGATCAATGCCATGGATCCTGGGAATGATCTTCTGTCATTTATCAGAGGATAGCAGCTTCCCTTGTTTTTCACTACACCTACTCTTTAAGCATTGCAGTCCTCTTTGAGGGGAGCTTAACTTGTTACTGTAGAACAAACTGAGTTAACCTCCCCTTTGTGCAAGAATACTAAAATGTTAAGAGAGTCTTCTTATAATAGAGTGTATTCCTTCCTGTGCATATACTGGGATTTTTGGCTGCTTGTTACCTAGCAGGTCGCCACAGCCCATGGATCTGCATATTTTTATATTTCTGATTTTGCACAGATTTTACAACAGATAACCTTCATGATGCACCCTTCCCATTTATCCGGGCATGGGACCTGCATTAGGAGTATGGCGACCCCCTGAGTTTGTGTTCCAGACAGGGGATTTTCTTTTTGCAAGACGAATGTGTTAAGAACTACACCTCTTAACCCAAAAGGACAATCCCAATGCCAAAATCTGATCAGTGAAATTTTTTTTATTTTCTTCTTCTTCTTCTTTTTATAAAAAGGCTATTTTGTCTGCCCACCTTTATGTTTGATGGTTGCCAGTTTTTCACTCCTTCATTATTCACACAGTTCTTCTCAGTCGCTCTTTGCTGCAGAGGTTTTATCACTGAAGATCTCCAAAGGATCTGTTTGATTTTAGTGAGAGGACACGCTTATCCAGCTCATAGTTTTCCCCGTAAAGATCCTTGTCCCCTGTGCGTTTGTGAACACCGTCGTGTTGTAAAATTCCTTTCCTCTCGAGCTTCTTGTGGCTGCCCTGAATGAAAACACCATTTAGTATTCAGTTGCCCTGACCGTCCATGCACCTTTGACATTCACGCAGTCCCATAACATTACACTCACACATCCTTGTTTCATGCACTCCTCTGTGGTGTTATTGGCCAGGTTCACACCAGACATGCTGGAAACCATCAGATCCACACAAATTTATTTTGGTTGTAACTGACCAAAGCGTGTTCTGCACTTCATCAGGCTTCTTTTCTCATCCTTCGGCCAAGTTAAATCTTGCAGTTTTATGAGTAATGGCTTTTTTGAGGTTGACTTTATCCAGTGTCCGTCGCGGCGCCCGACACCACCAGATATTCTTCTCGCTGAATCAAAAGCATTTGCTTGTCTTTTTTCCAAATAGGTTTGTGTGAGGTCACCAACTCCATCTTCCGTTACTGGTAACACGGCTCTTCCTACACTCCCATTCACACTGTTTATTTTTTACCACACTCAGCTATGTTGCATTAGATATAACCCAGGAGGAAAGTGTGTGTTCACAGGTGTTCTTTTATAACCTTGTTCAAGCAATTATCCTCAACTAGGATTTCATGTGGAATCGGTTTGGTTCCAGTGGTCACAGGTGTTCTGACATTTGTTCTATTAAAGTTGGACTTTGTGGCTTGTGTTTTATGTTCATAGTCTGTCGTGCATAGGATCAAGTACCTCGCACTTCAAAATAAAAATCATAAAAATTATAGCAAGATGTTTTCATTTTGAACTATTTCACTGTTTTAGTGATATTGCGTAGTCGTGTGTTCGGGTTTTGCTGTGAAGGGATTATCCCAGGATTGTCTTTAAAGACCGCTGGAAGCCTCGCTCTATGTATATCACCAGATGTCTCCAAACCTCACCCTGTGTCAGCACTTTGTCTAGTCAGCTCTGTCTCCCATTAAGTGCTTAGCACATCAAATGATGTAAGTGCTGGCATCAGAGGTATCATAACTTATCTAGTGTAAACCAAACTTACAGGAGGTGGAATTACGGCTGACAGGTTTTATTGTTCACCTGTGCTTGGAGCTCATGTACGCTCGGTCCACTGACTTAACAGATCATCTGGCCACTTGTGTCCTATCAAAGGAAAAAAAATAGGAGGATTAAGCATGCTGCCATTAAAGAACTTGGCAAAGTTTAGACTGTCTAACAGGTCTCTTTCCAAATCACACACTTGGCCATGATTGGTACGAGCAAAATAGGCCAAACACAGCAACTACACATAAGTGATCCAATCTGCCTTTTTATTTCTTTCATTTCATATGCTTTAGAATATGATCATCTCTATTTTAAAAAAAAACAACTCTGGAAACTATTCAAAGTGGCTGATTTATTGCTCCGTAACTGGCAGCGCGAGATTTGCTGCTGCCAGGCTCGCTGCCAGCAGACTGGTGTGCATACACGCTCCTATAGATTTACTGATAGTTACACAAAAATGCTCTGAACCACTACTGACTGTCTAGCACCCTGCACTCAGTTAACACAGTGCACTCCATGATGTATGCTTTCATCTACACTTGCTGTGGTTTCTTGTGTTTTTCTTGAGCTCGTAAAATAATAATTGGCTCTTTTTTTTCCCCCAGCAGATATGGCTCAGATATTTCCAGCAAACGCTGAAAATTATATAAAGAGTTAATTGAAGGGTCTTTCTTCTAATGTGACTTTTTCTCTCTTTCTGTTTTCCTTGCTAACTAGCGTCAGGCTGTCTGGGAGGCTGATCTGAAGGCTGTGAGAGGTGGGAGCTCTGTCGGGCAGACGGGCCTGCTACTGGGCGACTCCCTCTTTTCTAAAGAGCTGGAGAACATGGGCAAACAGCTTGCTGGTAGGCAGTTGTATGTGTATGTTTGCATGCTTTATGTGTGTGTGCGTCTGTATGTGATATTAGCTATAATGATGAATTGTGAGACTGAGGCAGATCAAAAAGCCTTCTTTCTTTGAAAGCAAAAACACTGTGCCCGCATGCACACATGCAGGCATACAAAGCTATAGAGTCTTATATAACTGAAGGGGATTTAGATAGCACTTGAGGGGTGGGGGGGCTATCCAGTAAAAGAATACACAGCTTTTGGTGGAAGGAATTTCCTGGTTAATTAAAAACTAAGACTTATGGAGCCCTGGATTAGCCAGAAAAAGAAAAAATGAGCCATTTTATTACATCGTATAAAGGTTTTAGCATGTTTTGATTAATTCATTCTCTTGCTTTAATAGTAAAATACAAACGTCAAAGATCGGTAACTTATATGCAAAGTGTTAAAATTCAAGCAGCGACCCTTTTCCATATGCAGTTTCATGAAACAATTCACCTTCTCTCAGTGGCCAGTGATGAAATGAGTGCACGGGGATGGTCACTCTTACATGAGGTAGTGTCACCAAGAAACAATAATAATTGGCTGATTATACACTACTTTATATAAGAGCACTTTCCACAAGGGTGGTCTGAACATGAAGCTCATTGCAGTTTGCTAGTTTTTTAATGAAATCCACACTGTGACTGTGGACCAAGGGCATCGACTGCGTATGAACCACAAATCCAAAGAGAAATCTGAATCTGAGAATAGCATGTGAAGGCGTCCGTTACCGCTGCATCTGTTTACTTTGTCTTTAAAGAAATGCACAATAACTCTTGGAAAGAAATTACCTTGACTTTGGATCAATCTCTTTCAAATGTATATAATGCATATGTGAACAGTTAACTGCTTAACAGTTAGTTAATAGCATCTACCCATGATATTTGCAGCTGTCTATATCCGCATCCATGTCCACAATGATGGCGTAAGAGTGGAGAATATGAGCATTCGTCCTAATGAGAAAAATTACTTCCAGTAAAATTAAAACCCCCAAATCCCCTACTTAAAAGCCCTGTAGTAAAACCATCCAGACATGTGGATGTGGACTGAAGTTACTGAATATTTTTTCATCTCGGTGTAGACTCTCTGTATGCACTCAACTCACCTTCAGCAAAAAAAGACTGATGGTATTCATCCAGCTCAGGGGAGAGATTGTTCTGGCAAAATTCAATTGTTTATCTTATTCTCTGTTTTGGTTTAAACGTTTTTCTTATAAGCTATTGATCAGGGAAATTATAATCTATTTGCACAGGGTGTTCTGCTCTTTTGGGACACTTATATAACTCACGCACACAACCAAAACGTGAGGACAAGATGTATCTTTCGGCTTTGAATTATTTAAATCACAGGAACAAATGAATCTATAACACGGGAATGAATTATATAGCATTTTGTGTGCTTAGTTTAGTAAGATATGTATATTCTTATCTCTCTCTGCTCCTCCTGGGCTTTATGGAGAGTAAATAGAAAAACTAATTAAAATGTTTTCTACATGCCAGGAATCCTATTGAGCTTCAGTTTTGACAGGTTCAGTTAATAACTCTCACTCCCGCTGCTGAGTCAATATGAGCCGATCGAAGGCTGACTCTGTTGGAGTGTTATTTGTCTGACGAAATGGAATTTGTGTGGCAATTTGGAAATGATTATTCTTAATGTAGTCCAAGGCTGAGCTTTGATATATGTGACGTCTGGGTGACTCAGAGACTGCTTTTGTTGTCATGAAGATCAAGTATGAATCAGATGAAAGTGTGGAATAGAAGCCAGGGAGAGACTTGCCATTTACCGTCATGTGTCACACACTTGTTTGTATATGCACGTCCTCTCACTCTGTTTAACAGCGTCACAGTGTGTAAAGATTTCTTTGCATACCAGATATATTAAACACATGCTGGTCACACTGAGTGAATTCGTTTCTGTCAAACAGCAGTGGTCACAGCTGGAATGACCTTCTAAGCTCATCTGTAAATGACAGTAAATACACCCCAAAAAAGAAAAAAAAAGATAAAGTTTGTGTTAAAAATGTACCAAATTTTCAGATGTTATTGATTTCTAGTTTTATACTGACTAGTCAGCCTGATGATTCCCAGCAGGCCTTTCGTAGAAGCTGTTAAACAAGCTAATCCAAGTCTTTAAAGCCTTTATTAGCTGTTAAATCTCTTCCACGTTATGAGCCAGAGCCTCACTGTTGAGCTACTATTGTTTCCCCAGTTTGTGTTTTTATTTTGTGACATTTTCTTATGCACACTGCTCAAAAAGTTAAAGGAACACATTGAAAGCACATCAAATCTCAATGGGGAAAAATCACGCTGGATGTCTACACTGATATGGGTACACTGGGTAATGTGTTAGGAACGAAAGGATCCCACATCATTTTATGGAAATGAAAAGTATCAACATGCAGAGGGGCTGAATTCAATGATTCAAAAACACCAAAAGAAGCACAAAATGAAAATATGATGTGGCAGGCAAGTCTGTTTTGCTAATATTTCATTTCAGCAACTCAAAACGGCAGTCAGTAGCCTGTATGGCCTCTACATGCTTGTATGCATGCCCAAAAATGTTCCTGGGAGACCAATAAGCCATAACTGATTATTAACCCCCTCTGCTACTTGACCGACCAGATCAATATCCCACAAGTTTAAGTGACTTGATGCTATACTCTTATTAAAAAGTGTTCCTTTAATTTATTTGAGTAGTGTATGTATCCAGTTAGTGCTCACTGAGATTCTCAGTCAGCCAGGTCATCGTAGTCTAAGTAGCTTGGAAAGAAAAGCGTCTGGACTTCTTTAAGTTTCTTGAAGACAACTTTTGGAGAGTCCAAGATTTTAAGCCCTATGGGGGTGTCCCCCAAGAGGGTCATACACCCCCTATTTCGAAGATGCCTATGTTCACATATTGCACAGAAAAGAAGTAATGATGTCGATTGTGAACAACCATCTTTGAACAGAGGACGACGGCTTACAACACCAACTGTCTCCCATCTATAATCCAGTTTTGAGATCCCTTCCCAGAAGCCTTAATGCCCACTCACATCCTGGGCCATTTGACCTCAGTAAATCACATAGGGTGGGGCCAGGTTTCACAGTGACTGATTGTGACGCACACCCGTTGTCACACCTTGGTTCGTGTGATTAGGTAGAGGATTGATTGGGGGTCCATAACCCTCTTGGGGACATTCCCATAGGGCTTAAAATCTGGGACTCTTTTTTTTTTTTCACACAGTTGCGCAAGAGTACATTTTGGAAATATTGCAGAGACAGAGGTTTTTGGACAGTTTTGGACAGTTTTTGTTTGTAATGTTGCGTCTGTACACCACCACGGGGTATTTTAATTCAAACAATCAATATATGATTGAATTGCAGACTTTCCGTTTTACTCTAATTCAACAGATTTAACAAAAGCATTGGATTAATCGTTTAGAAATTACACAGTCACCCATTTTAAGAGGTTCAAAGGCAATTGGACAAACTAGCATCATTTTTACGGTTTACAGTTGCGTTATGGTTGCTGCTTGCTTGTGGGTCCCTCTGCCTTCAGTTTTGTATTTAATAGCTGAAAAGCTATGCTCTGTTGGGTTGAGATCAGGTCAGTGACTTGGCTGTTGAAGAATATCCAATTTCCTTGTCTTAAGAAACTCTTGGGCTGCTTTTGTAGTACGATTCAGGCCATTATCCATTTGCACTGTGAATCGCTCTTCAATGACTTTTGCAGAATTTGGCTGAATCGCAGCAGAGAGTGTAGCCCCATACACTTAACAATTCATCCTGCTACTTCTATCAGCAGTCACATCATCAATAAACACGAGTGGCTCGGTTCTGCTGGCAGCCATACATGACCATGCTACAATACTGGCTCCACCATGTTTGACGGATGATGTGGTATGCTTCAGGTCATGAGCTGTTTCTCTCCTTTGCCACACTTTTCTCTTCCCATCATTGTAGTGCAAGTTAATCTCAGTTTGGAGGCATTTTTTTCCCCCTAAAACTGTCCAGGCTCTTTTCGATGTTTTTCTGTTCTTGATTGTGACCAGTGGTCTGCACCTTACTGTAAACCCTCTGTATTTACATTAATGAAAGCATCTCTTGCTTAAAGACTTGAAATTTAAATGATACACCTACTTCCTCAAGAGTGTTTTTGACTTGGCTATATGTCTTTAGCCGTTTTAGTCATCTTCTACCTGGTATTTTAGTATTGCTGAGCCTGATTGCTGATATGTCCACTTCTAAAGTTTTAATATTTAAGGTTTATCACCTAATACTGACCTCCTTTACTTGCATCAACATCTCTTTGGGCCCCATATTGAGAGTTTGTGCGAATAACTAGTTCAAAAATGTAAGCTCAACACGAAATCAAGTTCAGATCATTTATTTGCCTAAATTTAGTTTTGGGCCTCTGAAAATGAGGGTCTATGTATAAAAATGTCTGTAATACCTAAGTAGTTAATGTATTAGCACACTTCAAGTGTATAAGTATACATAATTTTGTCGATTCGTGCAAAGATAATCCCGCTCAGTTATTACCTTGAAGTGTGCAGATGTGTATTTATATGCAGACACCCTTTCCTCTGTCTGTATTTTCTTCTGAACTTGCTGTGTTTGGGGCATTTTTTTGGCGGCAGTGGTTTCATTGCCCTCCAGTCATGAAACATGCACTCCATCGGCGTTTGGCCCTTTCTCTTGAGCTGGTGCAGAGGTGTGACTGTTTTTATTTGAACAAAACCACCCTGAAACAATCAGGAAACAATCCTTCATCTTCCTGATTCACCGCTTTGCCTTTCAGTCCTTAGCTTGCTTGACCACATTTGCTCCCTCACTCTCGCTTGTTTGAGGCCAGGGAGGGGCCTGAGTCTGAAAGCTGTGTTTATATAATACCTATAACCTCCTCATCCGTTGTACAAAACATCGCAAACTGCTCAATTCATCAGTGACAAAGGCTTTTGTAAAAGAAAATTTCCCCCATTTAGAGCCAGGGATATCTCGTCAGAGTAAAAGTAAATAATCCCAAGAATTTTTCCAAGACCGCGTTGCCAACTTTTAATTTTACTTCCATTCACACCGTGTGAGGAATGTGCATTTCTTTCACATTATTTGTACGTTATCAATCCAAGGACTAAAGGGTAGCGTTTTAATTTCGTCAAGCAAACAGTATATTGTATACTTGTAAGCCTGCTGACAAATGACATGTCTTTAGCGCACTTGTTTATTTTCAGTGGAAGGATCCAATAAAGATTTCATGAGTTCTGAATGGTCGTATAGCGTGCTAGGGCCTTGTACTCGCTCACCACATGCAACTGCTTTTGGATCAAAGACTTTAATAGATCTGTTTCTATTTCTTCTTGTTTTCTTTCTGTCCCCCTCTGTCTCATTTTCTACCCTCTTTTCCCTGTTGTTGTTACTTGCGTTTGGGTTCAAACTCAAGGTTCATAGTATATGAATTTTGATGGCATGTCTCTTTATATCAGTGTCACTGAGATATGTTAAAGTATTCCTGTGTTTAACAAAGTCAGTTTAAAAATAAAACTGCCTTTCATAGGCTACTCTTTACTGTTAGGTAGCTGGAGTCGAATGTCCATTTCTGTGTGTGTCGGTGTGTGTGGTGGTGGGGGGGTATTTAGAGCAAAAACATGTGGTGTTTATCATTATACTGGTAAATACCTCAAGATGAAAATATAAGCTTTATGGGAACTACGGAATACATCCTGTTTACAGCTTTTTAAAATAATATCAGCCATCAGTGTGGGTGGACATAGTGTGTGGGTGATTAAGGACTTAAAGCGGGAAATCATTATATCCTGTACTTTACTTTGCACGTTTGTATTATTTATTTCACTGCAGTCTAAAGGTATTCACTTATTTATCCTTTGGTGTTATGGTCAAGATCCAGCTGTGGAGGTTAGCACATGGTTACAGTGCATACAGCAGTGTTGCCACTGCCAAAAGCTGATGTCAAGACCTGCCTTGAACAGCACGCACGGTTGAGTGTTTACCGTAATTTGATTGCTTCGTCCTCAGCAGTGACCAAGCTACTCTCAACTCCACAGATGTCTTTCAATATTAGCCTCTGAGGCTGCCACCTTCTCCTCTCCCCGTCTCACTTCCTCCTTCATCCATTTCAGCTTTCGCGTTTTGGCCCATTAATAAAATTTGCCAATTTCTGCCCATTAGTTGTTACTAATGTGTAGAACGTGTTGAGATTCATCTGACCAGGCAAACTTTTTCGAATCTTTTTTGTCAGATTTCTAGTCCATGCGAAATATAGCCTCAGTTTCATGCTCTTAGCTGACATGGGTGGTCTTCTGCTGCTGTAGCCCATCTACTTTAAGGCTAAATTTGATGTGTATTCAGAGAGATTTTATATGTTGGTTGTAATGTGGGGTTATTTGAGTTACTGTTGCCTTCCTAAGAGCTTTAATAGTCTGGCCATTCTCTCTTGACCTCTGACATTAGACTGAGACTGCTGCTCACTGAATATATTCTTTTTTTCACGGCACTCTATGTAAACTCGAGAGAGTTTCAGTTTCTGAAATACTTAGACCAGCACATCTGGCACCAACAGCCAAACCAGGTTCAAAGCCACTTAAATCAGCTTTCTTTCCAATGCTGATGCTCAGTGTGAATGCCAACAGCTTGTCTTTACCATCTCTACATGCCTCAATCTATTGAATTGTTACTATGCAATTGGCTGATGAAACAGCTGCAATATAAGAAACTGAACATGTGTACCTAATGAAGCGTCCTCTGAGTGTGTGTTGGCATTCAGGCAGTAAAACTCTGAGGACCCGCTGCTCTTATAATTTAGAAATTATTACGTCTGTAAAGTTTAACGGTTCACAGACACACACATAACATCACGCAGGACACAAGTTAGTGAACACATAAAACCAACAACAAGCAGCATATGTTCAGCATTGTGTCTCAAATGAAGGTTTACTTCTATGCACGCTGAGCTGCTTAAGCACATAAACAGCAATCCACTCAGGCATGTCAAATAATTATATGCATTTGATCCCCAAAGGATTTTGTGCAGCACTGTCTGATTTTAAACAAACAGAATCTTCCGGAGTAATGTCCAAAAGCTAAATTTAGGATAGCATTACAGGCATTTTCTGTTTGCATACTAAATGGATATTTGTCAGTGAATAGAAGCACATGTTTCATGTTTTCTGCAAATGTTGTTTGTAAAACCCAGGAAAGCTGAAATTTGCTCAAAAACATGGAAGTTTGAGTTTGTGAAATAATTGTTGCTTGCTCTTGTTATTTATCTAACGTCACACATACAGTTTTCCAGAAGTACCCTCTACCTCGAGTGAGTCATTACTCTAAATCATGCCTCTTAAATGATAACTCCCAGTTTGTTGAATCCCGATTGCCAAGATCTGGAACGAAAGCAGAAAACATGGAAAAAATGACCCAGATGTTGATCACAGAAGTTGGCAGCGTCGCGTTTTTTTATAAACAAAAATGTTTTCGAGACTACCAGAGCAGCAGCCTAATGTGATTTTGTCAGGAAGAAGGGAAGAAATATAGCCATGCTGCACTTACTGTATCAACTTGGGACATTTTCTGACAGAGGAAGCTGGATTCACCACAGTTTATAAGGTCTATAAATATTGTCATCATTGCCGAGAAAAGGGATTAACCCAAGCAGTCTCGCCCACAGTAAAGTTTGTGAATCATTAGTCAAATCAGTCGATGAATAAAACTCAAAGTAAGCCTGCTGGTATGTTAAAAGTTCCTTTTCCAGAGTTATTTGGGAGAGTTATCTTAAAAATTATTATGGGCATTTTCATGGCTTTAAATAAAGTCAATTTTATTTCAATGTGTGTGTATACCATAGGATTTAAATAGGAAATTTACTCCTTAAGCGTTTGGATACTGACTTGGATTATTGCCTTTCTTTCTCCAGAGGTTGAGAAGGACCTGGCAAAGCTGGCAGAAGTAGGAAAGATGACCACCCGAAGCTCCAATAATCCACATAGCAGCCTATACCACACCCCAGTGCGCCACAGAACTCTACCTGACACACTCCCCCTCCCCAGCCTCGTGTCCAGGCCCCAGTCTCCAGCTGGTAGCCTTACGGGGAAGTCTTGTGGTGTGGGCCTCCCCTTGCTTAGCCCCAAGACCACGACCCTCACCATGGGTAGGACTCAGTCTCCTAGCAACCCTGGGAGCAGGACTCAAACCCCCAGAACACCCAGCAGGCCCATAACCCCAAATAGTTTGCTGACACGCTCCACCTTTAACTCCGGCTCTTATAAAGAGGTGACCTTCAGGAGGTCACGGAGCCGCCCTGTTACACCCACAAGTCAGCCAATACTTACCCGACCGCTGCTCACCCCTCCAGGGCTAAGCAGCACAGATACCCTTGGTGCCAGCCTACGGGCCTATCTGTCTGAGGTAAGACCCCACACTGAAACTTTTGTTTTTTACAAGTCATGCAAGCACTTAATGAGACATGTAGTTCTACATGTTATATTTCACATTGCAAGGATAAAACTGTCATAAAAATTGGGTCATGGTCTGAAAAGGTTTTAGCATCTTGAGAGTGAACTTGTGTGCTGAAAGCCAAAAAAGTAAAGCCGGGCACTGAAGCTGAGAGCCTTTCCTCAGAAAGAAATATGAGCGAGATCACCAGGAGCACAAAATATTACACGTGCAAATCCTTTGCGGGCACACACCACTTCGTGTGGGGTTTAGCAGAAAGTCGTGGAGGTCTGTACAGTAGGATGTCACTTCACTGTGGAAAAATGAGTCTGGCATAAAAGGGGAACTTTCATTGGGATTTCTTTCTTATATTCCTTTCATGATCTACTTAACAGCAGGACTGTTAAATATGAGCCTTTTTTTGAAGGTTTTATTAATGGTGGGGCAGGAATTTTACATTGCCTTTGTGTAATCTGACAGTTATGCCAGTTGACACCTAGTCACATTATCCAAAACACTACTGCACCCAGTCGGCTTTTATTAAGGCCACCTGGTCCCAGGTAGAAGAACTGAAGCCTTAAAGTGAGGCCAGGTTCCAGAGTGAGAGAATCTTTAACCTCTTAAAAGAGAAAACAACGGATATAAATGCTAGCTTTCTTGTGTTTTCTTTAATTGGTATTCAGGAATAGTTCTCTAGGCTTCTTGAAGGACATTCAAAGCTCTTTTTTGGATGTTTGCTATCTTTCTATTTTATTTTTTTGTCAAAATGATGGTAAATGGCCTGTATTTACCATTACCATCCTGTAGTATGCTTTACTAGTCCCTAAGGACCCCAAAGCGCTTTACACATCCAGTCATCCACCCATTCACACACACATTCACACACTGGTGATGGCAAGCTACATTGTAGCCACAGCCACCCTGGGGCGCACTGACAGAGGCGAGGCTGCCGGACACTGGCGCCACCGGGCCCTCTGACCACCACCAGTAGGCAACGGGTGAAGTGTCTTGCCCAAGGACACAACAGACCGAGACTGTCCAAGCCGGGGCTCGAACCGGCAACCTTCCGATTACAAGGCGAACTCCCAACTCTTGAGCCACGATCGCCCCTGATGATGCAACACTGCTTTATTAATGTTAAATTCTGGCTCTGGGGAGGCCAATCCAGGACTGCTAGGGTTTCACTGTTTGTTTTTTTGTTTGTTTTTCATCTAGGTATGCTTTTACTGCATTGCTTTCATAATTGGATCAACTTTGCCAAGGTCCCTCGCAGTCACCAACCATTGCAGAGCCTCCAATGTGTTTCACAGATAGGATATAAACGTTCACCGTTGTACCTCTCTCCTAAAGTCCTCCGTACATATAGATGATGATTTGAACCAAAATGCCAAATTTTATTCATTAACCCTTTAAGACTACCATAGAACCAAGTCCGCCAGAGCTTATATTATATTTTTACATGCTGTAGTGCCATTTTTGGGAGCATTTCAAGTTGCTATACATCAATACAACCATTATAGCCCAAATTTTAATAATATGTATGCATTAAGTGCATAGTAATTACATAAATTGCAAAAAAGTGCAATAAACTACAAAAAAATTGAAAATCGTTTTTGTTTTTTAACATATATTTCTAGTTAGAGAAATTTAAGAGGCTTATCCCTCAAAACTTAATACAAAAATTGAGTCCATGCAGCAAATATAGTTTCCCCTCTTTAAGAATGGTTTTTAACAGCCGCTCTTCCACTGAGACCATTTCTGAGGAGACTTTAAACAGTAGATGGATCAACTGATGGGCCAGAAGCAGTTTTTGGGTCCTGTGTCAGGTCTTTTCTGTTCCCCCCCCCCCCCCCCCTGTTTTTGTTACTTCTAAGGGGTACAACACTGATTCATCCCTTGAGGGGGCTTCAATGACCTTTTAATATAGGTCAGTGACTTAACAACCAAGAGTAAACATTCCTCTGAAAATGGTTTGGTACAAGGACTGGACTGAAGAAAGTGAAAAAGCAGCCAATTTCCAAAGAAAACTTTGAAAGACCTTCAGGAATGCTCGACAACTATGGCTCTTTAAAACTGGAGAGAAAGTCTGGCTCCTTAGAAGCAAAATATGAAGACATAAGCAGTGGCTTCTTGCATATAAAGTATATATTTCACCGTATATGTGTGCTCATTGTGGTAAATGGTAAATGGCCTGTATTTGTATAGCGCTTTACTAGTCCCTAAGGACCCCAAAGCGCTTCACACTACATTCAGTCATTCACCCATTCACACACACATTCACACACTGGTGATGGCAAGCTACATTGTAGCTACAGCTGCCCTGGGGCGCACTGCCACAGTTGTTGGTATTCAACTAGTTTTGTACATTTTTATTTCTTGACTTTTGCACTTTTTGATGGGTTAGGGTTCCAAATGTTCAATATTGAATACAATTATGAATACATAGTCATTAATACAATGACAACCATAAGCCGGTTGAAGATTTGTTTCCATTTTCAGTTTGTTTAAGAGTTCAAATTTGCTAAACGGACAGGCTGGCCTAGATTGTCTTTTCTAATCTTGTTTTCCATTTCTCTTTTGTTCTGTCCATCTATCTGCAGAGTATATATTTTACCATCCTCTTTTATTTCTCTTCTATTATGATCTGTTTTTCCATTTCAGGATGAGTTTTACCAGCAGTTACAGGCCATCAGACAGCCTTGGCATATTCCTAGTGACACAGACAGTGACATCCTGGACCCTCCAGAACAGGATAAAAGTGAGTTACTTTTCTTGCTCTACCTTTCTTCTTTCTTTTTCCCCCTCATTCAGGCGAGACCAAACATCCACAGTGCATCTCAGTTACTGGGAGTTTTTTTAGAAGCTTTCATTTGCACCGTTTACAAATCTGGCCCTCTAATGTTTTTACCTTTCCACTGACTTTTTTTTTTCTTTTTTCTTTGTGAGACGTGACGTTCATTTCATCACTGCGCAGTCACTTTACCACAATGATTAACTGTTGGATTAAACTGGCAATAGAAACATATTCCTTGTAAAATTCTGCAACGGAGCAAAACGGCTGACTCATGCTAATTTCCATATTTCACCACTGGGTGAAATCCTGGAGAGGTTCTGAAAGGGTGAGATGTTGTCATGTACAATTTCCTTTCCTGGCACCTGTAGGAAATATATCTTTATCAAAATCCAACACATAGATGTGTAGGGTTTTTTGTTTTTTTTGCTTAAAAAGTCATAAATCGAGTCAAAGTAATGGCCTGGCTTGGATGCGGTGCAGTGTGTTACTCTGGCTTTGAACATGGCAGAATTAAATCAGACCTCCTTGAAAGTTCTGGTCCATAAATCAAATGAGTGCATGTGGTGGTATGGTCTGATAATCACATGCTCGCCGGAGTGAAACTAAGTACTTTTCAATTCACTGTGATCCGCTAAGAAACTGTCAGATTTATACTGCCTTATGACTGATTAACATATGGATAAATGTCTTAGGTCCTGAGAGACTTTTAAGTTATTGTAGCTGCATTAAATGACAAATCAGTCATGTAAACATTACATATTCCTGCAGGTCTGCTGTATCAGAAATATAAATGGACTGGACTGAAACGCTTCAAATGTTATAACAGCCTTATCAGTAGAAGACTTTATTTTTGGCTGCGCAATTATTCCCAAGGGGTCACCACAGCGGGTAGCCCTGCATTTTTGATTTGATGCCCTTCCTGAACTAACCGCAAATGGATTTAGGACCTTTAAGTTGGGCTATACTATAGAGCCACTCAGTAAGACATTCTGATACCTATTCCAATACAGGCACTGACATAAAGCGACACGATCAAGACAAAACCAGTAGGGTTTATGTCACTGAGAGCATGAATATGCTCTCTGAAGATTTCCTAACAGCGCATGAAACGAACAAATAAATGAGTAAATCATGAAATATCCCATGCAAACTGAGAGATTCATCCTCTAGGGAAACATGAATATGCCCAGTATATTTAAAGCATTATGATAAATTCTCCTTGGATCATTAAAAATCAGACAAAATTCGATGAAATCTTTTCCTTTTGGGCCATCCAACATGTTTCCACAATTACAACCTGATCAAGTGTTCAAACCAAATCTCACGCTATCCTTTGTTGTATTTGTCAAAGCTTCTTGAAGTGGACCAATGTGCTGGATGTACAGAGCGCTGCAGACCAACACTGGCACGCTGAGGTCCTGTGACTGCTTAGCCAAAAATAAGACGCTTCCAATTTCTGAATGAGTTAAATGATAAAAGACAAGGCTCTGAAAATAACTAAGCCCTGTTTTCTCAGCAAACAAAGAATCATCAGCTACACAAAGTGAAAATTAAGTGCATGTGGGACTTAAAAAGACCGCTTTCATTGATGCTATGAAACAAGAATTCCAGTCAAACAAAAGATCAAGCAGGCGAATGGTTGTCACGTGGAAATATAACTCTTCTGACAAGTTCCTCTAGAGGGCCGTTGTTTTGCCAAATGTGTATCTTGCACAATAAATGGATGGATTTTCCTAATAGCCCCTGGGGGTCTTGGCAGTAGTAATGGCAATGCTGAGAAAGGATATGAACCGCATATTGAATTAGACGTGGCTCAGACAGGGGAGAGGGAGACTGACAGAGAAAAAGAGCCACAAGACGTGACAAAGCACTTTCTGGCGTGAGAGAGGACCTACTGGGACTGTTCACTGAAATCTGGTTTGTGTGCCTTTGCGTATGTGCATGTGAGCGATTGTATTAGTCAGTGCAAGGCATTAAAATTGTTTTCAGAGAGCACTTTTGCGCTCTTTATCCAATTTTTTTTTCCTGGGAATTCTTTGACCTATGAAATAATACTGTTAAACAGCAGCTGCACTGACAGTTAAATATGCGATTGGGGAAAAAAATATTTTTTAAAATCACAGCCTATAAACAAAGCAAGAGGTAAAGCAAACTTCTAATGTTTGCTTATTTAGGAATTGCTTCAAATCATTTTCAAATAAAAACAAATTGAAGTGCTCTCATTGTATGTGTTTTTCAATATGGGGTGCATGTCACTGGATCTAAATAGTTTACATACATGGAGACATAGTCAGTGACCTTCATTTACATATATAAAACAACATGCATCTCCTTAGTATAGCTCATTATGCTTTCTATCTTGCTGCTCTTAAATCTGAAACTGCAGCTGGCTACTTTGGGTTAAAATCCATCCATTTTCTTCTGCCTATCGGGTTCAGCATCACAAAGTGCCTAGAATCTAATCCCAGCTGTTACATGCAGGGTGCACCCTGGACAAGTCACCAGTTTATAACAGAGCTAACAGACTGAAGCAAACTCCACACAGAAAGGCTTCCCTACGCTGTGTTCACTGCATCATTCCATGTTTGGCACTGATCACCACCTGCACTCATGTATATATTATGTATATATCTATCTATCTACTTAGCACTTTTAATTCTTATTCTCATTTTTATTTTCATGTCCATTTAAGCTTAATTTATAACAGTATTTATAACAGTATGTTTGCACTGAAGCACCGCAGCAATTTCCTAATGTTGTAAACCCGCTCAACATTTGGCAATAAAACCCTTTCTGATTCTGATTCAGGTTAAAGTCTCTGTCTGCTAACACGGCTAAAGCTAAATTGGGTCCTGTCATTTTGGCTGTTTGTGTGCAAAATCTGACACATGAAAAATATTAGTAAGCAAGGGTTTTACCCCTTATTTTCATTCTTTGTACTAAGCAAAACTAGCTGTCGGCTAGAGTTTGACAGGTTTAGTGTAAAGCTATAGTTAAAGTTTTAGACTATGAGAGTTTGCATGATCATAAAAAAAACTGAAAAGTCATAAAATTTGCAGAGAAGCCAGGAGAAGTATTGGAAAATGAAATAAAGCTAGACAGGTGGAAAAAAGCATGGATATTTTTCTTACGTTTTGTTATAGGGTAGTGTCAGGCCATGAACTTAGTTGCAGCTTGCACTTTGACAATATATAAATTTGTGCAATACCAGTAAAATTCTGATTTTCTTGCATGTGTATTATTTTGAATATAGATTACTATAGTAATATAATATAGAATATTGTCATTTTGAATAGAGATTACTTTAGAAACTCTATCCGAGTGGTTCAAGCTTGGATTCAGCTTAGTCCTAGACTAAAAGAATAAAAATCAGAGAGGATCTCTGCTGAAAAAGGTTTTTAGTCCAAGGCTAGACTTACTTAACCCAAGCCTGTGAAACCGAGTCTACATGTGTGTGTAGTGTAGTGTAGTAAATGGTGCTAAATGAGCTCAGCACTAATATGCAAACCTCACTGCCAGCCTAGTGCTTAATGTGACACCTACTATGGGCTGAAGGTCTGCCTTTTTTATCCAGTCATTGTATAAAAAGATATTTCAAACGAACCATGCTAATACTTTTTTTTGTCAAAGCCACAAATGCCTATCAAGGTTTATTGTATCGTATTACTTTAACTTCAAATAAGAGCCGTCGTCCTGCGTGACGTTTATTCGTTTCTTTCACAGGTGGTTCACGAGACGCCAATAAGAGATCCGTGTTTTCAGGTGAGAATCTGAACAGGTAGATGTTTTAACCTTAAGAGACAGTCTCTAATGTGTTGCATAATTTTGCCACCGCTTGCAAACTATGTCAAGAGTTCTGCTGCTGTAAGTAACTGCTTCAAACTGAGAGAGCCTCAGCGTCTGTCAGTGAGCTCATGTTTAGAGCCACATTATGTTTCCCAAATAACTACCAATGGGCGAGTTGGTAGCCTCCACCTTCATTTACGGTCCATTCAGTTACAGTCACAGGCTAAATGGAGGGCACAGCGGCTCTCAAATGCGATTGGCGGAGGCTGCCTGTGTGTGGAGACGCTGTTGCCCAATTCCATTAAGTCACTTGGGTTGTGAGTTTACACGCAGCAGACAGCGTCAAGTCACAGCGTCAACATTTGGGAGAAGGAGAAAGTCTGTCTGGTTTGAGGTTGTCTGCGGTTCTCCTTCTTGTGGCTCCGGAGGTGCCCACAGCTCCCAGTGTCAGTGTGCCAGTCTGGAGGCAGATCTGAGAACAGGCTGCTGCTGCTGCTTGGCTATCAGAGAGGCCAGAGCATTGCCACAGCAACCAAACTCAAAGCTCACCGCTCTCCCACAACTCTTCCATATTGTGAAATATGGTCACTGGAACCTCCAGTGGGCAACACTAAGTCTAATTTTCCACCTCATGTTTGTCCATGACATGCTCAAATATTAAACGGCTGTTTCAAAGTAATTGCCCCAGTTATTATTCTTATTAGCGGTTAAATGTGTCTGATTTTGGTTTCTAGGAGACTGATGTTTTTGTCTTTCATTTTTCACAGGCCTATAGTGACGGAGACCAGAGACATTGATCCAATCAAACTATTATGCAAACTGCTGGACATTTTGAATATGTGAATACACAGACAATTATTTTTATAATTCATAGATAGGAAAGAAAAAGATTGTATACTTTTTCACAGATATTTCATACACATTGTACTGTAACTGTACGATAAAAATGTGAAAATATGACTTGAGAGTATGAAATATGCCATTTATTTTTGTTTGCTCTATAGCATGCTACTGAAATTCTACATGGAGTCCAGCAAACAGATGCATTTTGTTGTCAGTAGACTTTTTCTAGGCCTGTGGCATATTCACACTGTCAAGGCAGCACACCTATGTTAGGATAGTGTTTATTAAATGCACTGGTGAAAGATTTTGTGTGTTTTTTTTTTAAAGATACGCAAGTTCTGAAGGGTATCCGTGGAATGCTGTTATATTGATTTGGTGCACTTGTTCTATTTTCTACCCCAGTGTAGCACACCTTGTTCTGCTATTTTATTTAGCGCTTTCTGAATTTCAACCTGGGAGGAGGGAAAAAAGCACTGAAAGAGGAGTTTTTACCCCCTAAAGCTCGAGGCAGTTTTGTTCAAAAATTTCCCCAGAAATAAGCCAAAATGAAAAGAAACAAAAACAACTTGGCCTCAACGGATGAGGCGCTTGGGAGAATTTTGTAATACAACACGCCTCATTGTCCCCATCATCAGGTTGAACGAGTTCTTATAAACTCCAGGAAAGAATTTTAGTTTTACTCCTTCCAAATCAATCCTTAAACAAAAAAGAAAAAAGGAGAGTACACACATCCTCGTAGTGAGTCATTAAACTCTTATGATACTTAAACGGTCCTAAAAATTCCACCAAATATGAGTCCACAGAAATGAAGGATAACATCCATTATATTCATAGCCGTACTTTGCGTACTTTTTGTGTGCCATGCATGACAACCTTTGAAAAGTTGGGCCAGATGCAGCCTGTTCCTTGTGCAAGGACCTCCAGTGGTGCATAGAGATTAACTCTAAACCTAACGTGTAATAATGAAGTCTTGGTTTAATCCAGTCTTTCCCCCATCTTTTCCCCAGCGTTTAACTATGCGTCTCTTACGTACATGGAGGTTCTGCACAGAGACGTGACCTTTTACCGCACTGCCTCTTCTGTTTGCCTGGGCACTTGTTAGTTAAACTGTGGCTGTCTCAGAGTAACACAGACAACGTCAGCTCCAGAGACAGGCGCACCACGGACACAGCCTTCAGTCTGACAGTCTGATCCCTTCACTCGAACCCCACTGAGTTTTGCGGTAAGGTACGCCGAGCAATGCCAGCTCTCGAGCCTGTCCCTCGGGATGTGGTTGCAAACTACTCAGATCTCCAGCCTCATTTCACAACGGCTGATTCCTGTAAAAAGGATGTGTAAGAAGACTAATCACTTCAAAACTCCCATCCTGTAAAACATGGCATGTGAATTAATGCCCCGCGCATTCTAGCACATTGTGTGCTCTTTGGAAAGAGGATGTGGTTTCTCGCAGATCTGTGGAAAAATTTCAGGGCATGGCATAATTAACTCACAGTGGTGCCTTGATATAATCTTTATAACACCATAAACAATATTTTCCTAACAGAGAAGGGAAATGTATCGCTTTGCGTATTTCAATTTTCGTATTTCATATTCCATTTTCCCTATGTTGGAAAAACATTCGGGAATGTGACTGCTGTCTGTTCTTGTTCCACTGATCGCAGGCATGTTAGCTCCGTTTATACTATCAATATTTTCTCTTGAGTTCATGTGTCTCCTCCAGGCTTTCATGTTTTGTGTCAGCCAAATTTCAAGGCATGAGGAGTTCTGGAAAAAGGCAAGACACTCTGAGAGATGAGGACTTCAATTACTGCCACAGATGTCGCACAAAATAAGCACTCTGATCCTTTCTCCTCTGCTTTTTGTGTCTGCCAATGTCTCTGTACATAAAATTACCCACACCCTCGCGCTGCGTAGTATCATATTTCAGATTGTAGCTATATGATATTATGCTTACCGCAAAGATGATTGTGATTGTCAGTTTTATGCCGCACAATCAGAGAGAGATCAAATTGCTTATCGTTAATACTTCTCTGCGGAATATGAAACCCTCAGCATCTTCTTAAAGTGTGCATATTGTGCAGGCTTTATACGTCAGGCCCAAAGCAACTGTAAGGGCCACCCAGGCATAGCAACAGCCACCGCTGTACTTACCGTGAGATCCAGACCACCATCAATGGTCAGCAGGCTGACCCATGTCCTAATTTACAACTGAACAGACTGGGAATTATCTTGACATACAGCACAAATAAATCTATGGTTGGTGGGAGGTACGCTTTGAAGGCATATAGAGTCATTTGTTGTTTGAAATGTCCCAATATTACGAGAATGTGTGACATGGGGAAAACTATGTGTATAGAAAGACTGGGTATGACTTTTTGTGGGCAGAGTGTGTGTGCAGGTTGGTTAAACTGTAAGGCCTTTTGGTGTTATGAGAAAGGAAACCAGTGTTTAATTCCTGTTTGTGAAATGTTTTAATTACGTTAAATGCTTTTGAGTTTTCCACAGATAAACGTATTATATACTTTTTGAACTTTCACATGAAGAGGACGAAATCTGCATAAGTAGCTAGTACTTCATTCTACACTGCCGCTACACGTGGTAGGCTATAATTATGGAGAAGCTCCATATTAAACCCTTTTTGTGAGGACTCCTCAGCAGAATCACCCGGGGAGGTTTATGTGGGTCCTTTTTATGGTAACTGTAATTTAAAACATAATCATCAATCTGGATTTTGTTTTCTGTGTTCATTGAAGTGAACTGCCTGTTCTCACAGAACTAATAAAAATCAGCCTCCGCTGTTCTTTAACTGTTTACTACTTTGAGTCTGTCATCAGCATGGAAGTGCTGTCATTTGAAGCCGAGGTAGGAGTTTTGGCCCATTAAAGCAGGCCCAATTCACTTTGTTTTCTAAAAATTTAGAGCAATAAACTTTCCTAGCTGCAGTAAAAGAAACAATAAGCAATAAAAGACTGCACCCATCATTGTTTGTAGAGCAGAACATGAGTTCACATGTTGTTGACAGGACTTCTGGTTTCTGCACGCACAGCCAGAAGTGTTTTGCACATTGGTGCACTTTTACTACAATACAAACAATGCTGATCTTTGCTGACAAGAGTGACACCCGGTGTGGTCTTCTGCTGCGTCAAGGTTCGACATGCTGTACATTCAGTGATGCTCTTCTGCAGAACATCTCGAAGCAGTCCGGCCGTTCTCCTCTGGCTTTGGGCATCAACAAAGGCATTTTCCCTCATAGAACTGCTGCTTTCTGGGTATTTTCTCCTTTTCACACCATTCTCTGTGTAAACTAGGGTGACCAAACGTCCTCTTTTTTTTGCACTTGTTGACTTGTAAAAGCCTATATGACATTTTTTAATTTTACCACTCATTAACCGCACAGAGAAGGCATCGTTTAAATATACAAAACTTTTCTTTAAGCAGACAGTATTATTAAAATTCTTCATGACTGGGCTAATTGTCCTCTTTTTGGAAATCTAAATATGATCACCCTAGAACCCTAGAGATGATGGCTGCTTAGATTTTTGCTTAAACATGGGGATGAACAGGTGTACCCAATGACTGTTAAGTATAACACAGATTTAGGTTAAAATTAGTCAATAAACAAAGCTTTATTTATCTTTTTATTTAATGTACATTGTCTTGAGTATTATGTGGCACATTTCTCCCTGAATATAATAGAACAAATGATTAAAAGGTATGAGTAACATTATCTAAATGTTTATATCATTTTTGATTTAAAAGCTGTTTAGAATGTGTACAGGTTCCAAGGAACAACAAGCAATAAGCAACACAAAAAACCATATCATACACATCGGCATTTTTCTTCGCCTGCTTCTAATCAAAGGAATGGTCAATGGCATCTAATTAAATGGTTGACAGACACTAAACCAGCGGTCCCCAACCTTTTTTGCGCCACGGACCGGTTTATGCCCGACAATATTTTCACGGACCGGCCTTTAAGGTGTCGCGGATAAATACAGCAAAATAAAACTAGTACCGGTACCGAAAAAAAGAGAATTTATTCATAACACACGTGAAAAGACCCAGGAAAACCGAGTAAACGATAACAAAATAACGCTGAAAACCGATAAAAACCCTTAAAACTATACATTTCACACCTGAGCCTCAACTCTCGCGGCCCGGTACCAAACGACTCACGGACCGGTACCGGTCCGAGGCCCGGGGGTTGGGGACCGCTGCACTAAACCACGTCTTCGTTTTTCCAAACTGTCTCGAAATACGCTCAAAACAAGGATGTTACTTCAAAATATCCTTCTTTATCATTTCATTTGAATAAATATTGTGTATTTGAGTTAACTTAGCTCAGTTCCTCAAACGTTATTAGCTAAAAAAAAAAGTTTGAAACGTGATTAGCATCAGAAATGAGACAAAGCGACGTTCAAAATGAAGGAAGTTTGAAGGTAAGTCCAGCTGAATTATGTGGTTTGGTCGGTTAATTCGTTTGCTTTTATAAATGCTATTTTAAAAAAAAAAGTTTTATACCTCCAGCTTGGCGGTGGGCTAGTCTGTTATTGCGGGGGAATCACATGTCCTTTGATTGTCAGCATGTCCACGTGTGTACGGAACATCTTAAATCACCCCAGTATTTAATTTTCAGCTCTTTTTCAGCCCAGGCAGCAGAATGAAACCTTTGACCATCCTTAGCCCAACACTGTAAACCAGAAGATATCTATCATTGTTGTGTGGATAGTTGAGGCTGTTAGGTTTGGCCGGGCTCCTGGTGCGTTGAAGGACATACAGCCTGTATTAAACAAGTGCGATGTTGTTTCTAGCTCAGCAGTTTTCCTAACGTTTACAGCTGCTCTGCCGTGGCAGATTATTGGCACCCACGCTCAACAGCTACAAATGATAGCAGAGACATTAGTTTAACGAGCTTTTTCTTTTTCTTCCGGTATTGCGATCTTAATTTTAATGATTAACGACATGGAAGTGACTCATCTCCTTTGGTGTGTCTGAAGAAGAAAAAAAAGATCCCTATCAGGATTTGTAAATGCATGCACGGGTCCACTGGAACAACATGTATTTAATGCTGTTTAAAAGAAAATCCAGATGGACTAGTGAGGGATTACAAAGTGGATGGATAAACAGAAATCCTGTTGTGATCTCTGGCTGAGCGTGAGGCTTTTTCCGTCAAATCTCCATAAGAATCACAGGCTCTGGAGCCCTGAGAGTACCCCTGTAGACTGCTATGGCTGAATTGTGAAACCTCACTATGTGAGAACAGTAGTCTGAGCTGTCATGTCTATATCTCTCCTTTTCTTTCTCGCAGACAAATTTATGATTCTTCTCCCTGACCGTGATGTGGTCAGTATCCAGATGTTTGGAGATCTTTTCAAAAGCTCTGTGTGTGTGCGTGTGTGTGTGTGTGTGTGTGTGTGTGTGTTACACACTGCCAGGCTTTGTGGTGGGTGAGGCTTAGACCTGGATCAGATGAATCATCCAAACTCAGCGTCTGTCTCTGGGTCAAGGAAATCTTTGTGCTAGCTTTAGTGTTATTAGTCTTTCAAATACAGGGTTAAAATCATGGTGTGATGGTGCACAGTGTGCTGGAAATGTTTGGGGTGGACTGAAATAGAATATCGCCTTCTGTTGTGGTAGTTGACAGTAGGTAGCCACCAAAGCTCCCTTAGGCTAAGGAAAATCACCTTCAGTGCCTCGGTTAAATCATACTTGGGTTTCATTTCACTATCATGCTCTCAAACAATCCCTTCTGCTCCTTTCTCTTTTGTGTTTTCATTTACATATAAAGTTGCAGTGAATTTATTGAGCTTGCACATGGTGTTTTTTACTCAAGCTGTGATTTATTACACGTTCTCATAGTGCTTTGTTCTAATTGTCTGCAGGGTACTTTTTGCTTTTTTGCGTTTTCTCCCATTAATCCAAACCTTCTGCTTGGGTCGGTGTTTGAAATAACTATTTGGCCAGTGTCAGTATTTTATTTTTCTGGTTGTTTGTTTACTTTTTGGTATGCATTTCCCTTTTTCTTCATTATTCAAGTCCTTTAGGTCTCTGTCACAGTATTTTTTTAGCATATTACCACTGCCTTTGGTAAATGTCATCCTGTTTGCAGACAGGCAGATGGCTGACAGATTGGTGCATCGCCACTTGCAACAATAAAAGATTTCCACGGAGCAATAACCATCTCAGAAAATGTCACGGCATACAAAATTGTGCAATTATAATTCTTTTCAGATACAATGACTCTTGAAGGAATAAAAACAGAAGGGAGTTTGGGGGTCGGACAGGCTGTTTATTATAATTAAAACTTCAATTTTCTTTTTCTTTTTAAATGGAGCTCTGTAAGAAGCAGCGAACAAGTCTGAGGAGAAAAGAGCTGAGATTGGTTATCTTAATCCAGATGCTTTGCACTCATGTTTCCATGTCCATATGATACTGCACTGCCAATCCCATATGATCAAAACCATCATCTTGACTGAGATGCTAATTGTATTTGTCTTGAAGTCAAGCCATTGTCATGTTTCTGTGTTCCTTTGCTGATGTGAGGAGATAAATATTTAGGATGTCAGCAGGAGAGATTTTGGGATGAACTGCCAGGTCCATAAATAATGTGGCCTTTTGTATAATGAGAAGTGACTGTTTTTGTAAACTCGAGACCTTTTTTTTAATCACTTTGGACACATCTGCAGCCTGATTTATGTCTACACTCAAAAAAACCAACTGTAAACTGCCGTATGAAAGTTGTATTCTTAAACAACATTTGACGGTCCATTTCCCGTGCAGGAGTATTTATTTTGATTTCTGGAAATTACAGCGTTGGAAGTATTACTCACAGAATATTTTTTGTCTTGGCTCCTTCTCTGATGATTTTTGTAACACTTAAGATCCATGTACTGTAGGGGGTAAGTTATCGGTTGAAATGATACTGAACTTTTTATTTATCGGATGTTCATAAATATTAGTAATATGCATGGTAATATTCTGTCAAAACACATTAATTGCCTTTACTTTCATACTGTTCTGAAAAGCCTGTTGTGAGCCAAGAAAAAATTCCAGGTATTATGTTTGTACATTAGATTAGGATCCCTCATGTGAGGAGTCGGACATCTATTCATTTGCATACATCGATATCTGCATTCAAACTGTAAATGTTGGCCAAGCATGAAGACTGAGGACTTACCCCTGATGTAGTTACACTGGAAGCCCTGACACATCCTGACACATTTGCTATTTTCCTCTGTTGCTGCTGTGTTTCCACATTGAAAATACGCTGCAAATGCAAAAGACAGCTTGACAGAATCATAAAATGGGAAGGAGGCGCAGACCTCCTTGTCCCTTACCGCTGACGGCCTCTACTAAGTGCTCATATACCCAGTCTCATTGCACCGTCATCTTCAGCTGCACATCTGTCAAGCTCTGTTGCATTGTTACAGTGCAATGTTGACACAACTGTCTACAAAGACTTTGTCTATCCAGATACTTTCTAAAGTACTTAAAACTGCCTTTGTGGTCTCAGGGATCAGATTTTTGCTGTGATGACATGGATAGACATGCTGACTGACTCAGAAGATAAAAAACAATATTGGCCGTGCTGTCACAGCTGGTAATCATTTGATTTGGTAATAAGGGCTCTTTTGTAGTGTTCCTGTTATTTTATCAGCTCTCCGTGGAATGATTTCCCATGCAGGAAAAGGGTGGAGCAGGAATAAATGATGCTGCCGGCTGGTCAGATGAGGGTTAGCTGCGTGATTAGCTCTGTTCGTAAATTTGTGAACGCCTGACCACAGGAGGACAGAAAATGTCTGTAATAATGCCAAAAAGCTGCACTACACCTGCTGCCTTCACTCCCCTTTCTTCGTTCCTTTACTTTCAAGCGAGTAGTGAATGATTTACCTTTTTTTTTTTGCTGTTGTTTTGTTTTAAATTATTTCCTTCTTGTGCATCCAGTGCATTCACACTCCTTCATCTGCAATTCAGGGTCACTGGCTTGTAGGTAACAGCAGGACAAATGGCAAAGATTAATTGTCACTAAGTGAGTAACATTGGAAGTGTTTGGTTCTTTGCATTCCCGATCATCAAGATGACGCCGTTTCCCCTCATCAAAGGCTTATCCTGCCAAGAGTCTGATGTCAACTTCCCAGCAATGCAGTGCAAAATGAAATTATTCAGGGGTCATGATACGTTAGCTAGGTTTTGCTGAATTGGAACACGATGGACATACTGGAACAGGAACCAGTCACATTTGTTGTGATGAAGTTTGTCATGATTTGCTTTGGATGTTGTTAGTATCAAGATACAAAGAAGATGAATCCCCAGCACGCGGTGAAATTCTGTCTGACTCATAAGTGTTTTTGCTCTGGCTGCACAAAGCGCTTTCCAGTTTCTGGGTTTCAGTTTCATGATTTTGAACAAAGAACGATTTGATGTTCATACCAGCTGTCCCAATGTATTTTTCCATCAAAAGGCAGGCTTAAATCTTGTTTTGATTTGGGGCTTTTTTTAATCTTGGGGGTTATAAATGTAATATTTATTCAAACTAAACAGGTCTGAAACCTCAGTAAGTGATTTGAAACCCCAGGGATAGAAGTGACTTGAAAGAAAATTTTGCCTTAAAAGATTACGCAGCAGGTAGGCTACCTCAAACACTGACTTTGGATTCGTTTTGCAGCCACACAGTGTTTAGCCTCCTATTAAGTAGAAACCATAAAGATTTAAAACTGTAGGTGGAAAAAAAAAAAGTACAATGTTGTAAAATTCTGTAACCCACAAGTGTGATCTATACAATATGTACTATACTGTAGGCTTGAGAGCAGATGTAATAGTAAATGATCTCATTGGTGTCGGCACAAGAACGAACAAGAGAATAAAAAGGATTTATTGGGTAAGAGAAAGAACAAATCTGCTTTTTTTTAATCCAAAGCAACTCTGCACTTACCATTGTACATTTAAAAAAACACACG